ACATGGTTCTTTTATGGGATTTGGATATGTATGTAATGGAATGATTAGGCTTAATATTAATTATCCTTCTATTGATAATTCAGTTTGCATGGCTTCTACTAGTACTAGCAATAAATTTAATAAATATGAATTATGGAATGCTATACTAGGACACATTTATTACAAGAGATTAAAAGACATGTCTAAAATGAGTTTAATTCCTGCTTTTGATATGCAAAATAATGAAAAATGTAAAACAAGCATGCTAACCAAAATCACTAGATAACCTTTTAAAGATGTTGTTAGGGAAAGCAAGGTGTTGGATCTTATACATAGTGATTTATGTGATTTCCATGCAACACCTTCCATTGGAAACAAAAAGTATGTTGTTACTTTTATTGATGATGCATCTAGATATTGTTATGTCTATTTGCTACATTCTAAGGATGAAGCACTTGATACATTAAAAATTTATAAACAACAAGTTGAGCTTCATAAAAATGAATTAATAAAAGTCTTGCGTACTGATAGAGGTGGTGAGTATTATGATCCAATTTATTTTGAATCAACTGAAATAATACATGAAACCACAACTCCTTATACACCACAACAAAAAGATGTAGCTGAAAGGAAGAATAGGACTTTGAAAGAAATGGTTAATTCCATGTTGTCCTATTTTGGATTAAGTGAAGGGTTTTGGGATGAGGCAATTTTAACTGCATGTTACATCTTGAGCAGAACTCCAAATAAAAGGAGTAAGAATACTCCTTATGAACTTTGGTGTAAAAAGGTACCAAATTTGAGTTATCTCAAAGTTTGGGGCCGTAGAGCAGTTATAAGGCTCACTGTACCCAAAAGGAAAACATTTGGTGACAGAGGTGTAGATTGTATCTTTATTCGATATGATGAGTATTCCAATGCATTTAGATTCTATGTTTTAGAATCTAATGACTATGTGTCTATAAACACTATGACAGAGTCAAGAGATGCTATCTTTGATGAAGAAAGATTTACATCTATACCTAGACCAAGGGACATGATTCATCAATCTTCTAGAAAGAGTACTAATCAAGTTGAAGATGTTTATGGTGGTGCAAGTTCTGTACCTGAACCTTGGAAAGGCACAAAAGCTAGAAAATCTATGTCTTTTGGATATAATTTTCAACTTTATCTAGTTGAAGGAACAAGGAATGAGAATATATGTCAACATCAATATTGTTTTAATATTGAGGAGGATCTAAAGACTTTTAGTGAAGATATGGCTTCTAGGGATGTTCATTTCTGGAAAGAAGCAATCCAGGATGAGATTAATTTTATCATGCATAACAATACTTGGGTATTGTCTAATTTACCTCCTGGTTGCAAGGCATTGGGAAGTAAGTGGATCCTCAAAAGGGAAAATGAAGGTGGATGACACAATTGATAAGTATAAAGCCAGATTAGTTATCCAAGGCTTTAGGCAAAAGGAAGGCGTTGACTTCTTTGATGCTTATGCTCCTGTTGCTAGAATTTCCACTATTAGATTATTATTATCTCTTGAAGCTATACTTAATCTTGTAATTCACCAAATGGATGTGAAAACTGCATTCTTGAATGGTGACTTGGATGAGGAAATTTACATGAAACAACCTAAAGGGTTTGTGATGCCTGATAATGAACATAAGATATGCAAGTTGAAGAAATCAATATATGGTTTAAAACAAGCACCAAATCAATGGCATCAAAAGTTTGATGATGTGATATTGTCTAACGGTTTTGCATTAAACCGACTGACAAATGTGTATATAGAAATTTTC